CTTAAGCTTCATATATAAATAATTGAACTTCTAATTATTAGATGGAGTTGGAGGAAGAAAAGGTAAAGTTCCTCCTTTAACACCGAACATTTTTCTTTTTGTTGAAAAAGTATTGTGTAGCTAGCTGTCATGTATTCCATTTTCTTAGGTAACAACATTGCAGGCTGAAAGAGTAAAGACAGTACTCACTCGAAAGTGTCAAGCAAGATGGATTCCCATAATTAATACTAATTAAGACCATAAATACAAGTTAAAAATATTTTTCAGAATTTCTTTTTTAAAATTAAATAAAGAGTATTTTTGAGTTAAATTATATTTAAACTAACTTTATATCGATATTTAATTTTCAAGTTTATTCATTATTGTATTGTATTAATAACAATTGCGAGGGAAAACTATGAACTACAAAGCTACCTAAGTAAAGCAGAAAGAAAAATGGCAAGGAAAAAGATAAAACACTAACAACAAAACATACAATGGAAGCAGAAATTTAGAAAACTGCGTTTATCTTCAACCCTTCTACATATCCTTCAATAAGCTGAATGTTACTGAATTACAAAATTCATCAGCAAGCCTCCCCTCAATTATAAATACATCTGATACTACCTTATATCTGTGCTAAAATGATAGCAAAAAAATATATATCTATTTATATCACTAAATAACCTATATATATACATCAATTATCAAATATGCCCCCAACCAAATTAAACGAACTATGCCATCCGAGAAAAAGATGGAAGAAACTTCTTCTATGCGTTCAAAGGAGTGAAATAATTGAATGAAGAGAACAAAAATCAAACACAAGCATGGCCACCACCATCACAAGTACAACCACCGTTGCCAGAGATAATATCACTATCATGTCTTGGTTTGGTGCTGAGGCAACAACACATAAGAGCCACCAACAACATGAATCCCCATGCTGAAGCCAAAGCCTGTGCCCAGCTCAAGTAATTCCCCATTATTTTTTCTTCTCATATGTCACCCTTCCCTAGCTATAGCTATCTCTCTCTCTTCCTTAGATCTTCTTATCCTTTCATCACTTAATATCGTAAATGCCATTAATGATGAGAGTTTGAGGCATGATATGGTATCTACCCTTTAGGGAAAGGGAATAATGGTATATATCAACTGGGATGATGGATGAGATGTGAGGATTGAGTGAGACATGTTGTTGCACATGGTATGAGCTTGAAAGAGTCCGAATAACATGGGCCAACCTGTACGGAGTTTAAAAGATCTCCCACCTCTCATCATCTCTTAAAGCCACAAGTTTTTTTTTTTTTTTTTTTGTGTTTCCCTATGTAAAGTTTAAAGTCGTATTTTGTATAAATGGTTTCAGGGAATCTTGTGGGTTATAACCTTTTGATCAAGGTTAAAGGTTTTAGGGGTTTATAATCGAGTCTGACCTCCGTGTGACAACGCCCATGGTCACAAAAAAAGTTGTCATTCGACTTTATTACATACGCTTGCCTTTCCTTGGTCTCTCTCTATTAGGTCGAGAAGAAAAAAATGATGAGAAAAAAGAGTGAGAAAATAGATAAATTTTTTTTTTGAAAATAATAGTTATTTTATTATTTGGTAAAAGAGAAGAGAGAAAGAGTGAAAGTTAATTTTTATAAATAATTTTATTTAAAAACAAATTATTATTATTATTATAAAATAATAAATATATATTTTTATAAGTTATTTTATTTAAAATAATAAATTAAAATTAATTTTAATATTACTATATATACTTACTATTATTTTAAAATAAATAAATATAATTTTTATAATGATTTCTTTTTCAAATATCAAATAAATTATTTTTACTTAATCATAATAGTGCTGTAGTGCATCTCACCTCCTGTAATTATTCATTTCTCAACACTTACCTTCATTTGAGAGGGAAAGTTTATATATTGCGTCGCACTTGTATTTCTATACAAATCTTCAGACTCTTCTCTTTTACCAAACAATACTAGGTTTTATACTTCCCCACACTTACCTTATCTTCTTCTCTATTTACCCCTTACCAAACACATTGTTAAGGTGTTTTGATATGCATTTTGACTTTGTTTGGTGTTGTAGAAGTTGGATGGAGAAAAAAGGAAGAGTAGGTTACACAAAGGATACATAATTATCGTAGCTCAAGTACACAAGTGGGAAAAAGGCTTATAAGTCTATTTTTGACGTAAACAAATTTTGGTTCAATCAAATTTGGTCATCTAAGGCTTCACCTTCAAAGATGAAAATATTAGCTAACTTAAATATATTTTAAGTTCTTACAAATATTGTTGAATTTTATTTTAGTCCTAGTATTTTTTTTTTCATTTTTAGATACTTGACATTTGTTTATTATCATTTTTAGTCCTTATCATTATCTCTACTTAGTTTAGTCTAAAATAGCTAACAAAATAAAAATATATATATAAAAATAAAAAAAATATAAAAATTATTTTTATGTGTATAATTTAATTAAGTAACGTATTTTTTTATATAGATAAGATAATTACATATGATTTTTATAATTGATAATTTATTTTCAATATATTATGAAAAATAATTTTTATTATTTTTATTAATGTTCTTATTTTTTAATTTACAATTAATATTGTATATTTAAAATATAATTATACTTTTTTGGTAAATAAAAAGTTTATAATTTACTTGACAATTATAGTTTACTTTTAATATAGATTTAAATATATTTTTAGTCCATCAAGGTAAATTTGTTTCTGATCGCTCAAATTTAAAATTATTTTTAGTCCTTATAATTTTTAAAAATATTATTTTAGTCCATTAAGCCACTAATAACATATTTGAAGCTAACAAATTGAGACAATTATGTAATATTAACTAAATTCAATGTGATATTTTTTACTAACAATGAAAATAATAAGTAAATTTTATGCGATAATATTTAATAGATTTTTTAACAAAATTTGAGTATAATAACTAAAATGAAATTTTTTGAAATTACAAGAACTAAACAGATTAATTTTAAATTAAAGAAATTAAAAATAAATTTGACTTAAATTTAAGAAACTAAAAATATATTTAAGTCTCTAATATATTATTTTGGTCTTTAGAAACAAAATCAATACTTATAATACATTAAAAAAAAATATTTTTTACGATTGATCAAAATTAATGAATTCAAAATGTAAAATAATTTTAAAATAAGACATTAAAAGTATATTAAGCATGAAAGTAAATTATAACATTATAATTATTAAAATAAATTAAAAGGTATGAAAAATATTAAATACAATAAGAATCACTAAAATTGCTATTCTTAATATATTAAAAAATATAAAAGAAAACTATATATAAATACCTTTTTTATATCAAATAATAAATATATTATTTTATGAAATTGTACTTGTAAAAATAATTTAATTATCTTAACTTAAAATATTCTTTGTTATTTTAATTATCTTAATTAATACTTTTTAGCTATTTTATCTCTATACTAAATGGAGTTTACGAGAAGGACTAAAACAAAAGACTAAATAAATGCCAAGGATCTAAAATGATAAAAAGAAATTTGCAAAGACTAAATAAGATAAAAACTATATTTATAGTAAATCAAAACATATTTAAGCTCTATTACTTTTTAATTTTTTTTCTCACACCAATTCAATGCTCGGAAAGATTAAATTTTGCAGAACAAAAATAGGAATTATTTTATTTTTAAAGACTAATAATATGACCTAGTAAACCTCCATCAAATTTCCCAGGATCCTTTTTTTTTTTTTTCTCGTCTTGTATATAAATAAAAGGGCCATCTATAACAACTACGTCTAATGCAACTGACCTGTGATTAGTTAACACGTGATACAAGGGAATTAAAATAAATCAGCAGCCATCGCTATAAAAACTATGGTCCCATTTTTACATTATTCGTTCGTGGAGATCGTGGCTCAGAAGTAAAGCTGAAAAACGTAGTCACTAGAACAGGGTCCCATCTAGGCTAGTACTTTAGTAATCGGAATAATTCCAATGCATGTACATGTATTGCGTGGTGGCAGGGGCAATATTAACTCACCAAACTGATCTAAACCATAAAATTTTAGTGGTCATATGCTGATTTGGTAGTGATAATATGATATCTGAGGGAGACATGTAATCTTTTTTAATAGTTTTTTCATTAAATTTGAAAAATGTTTTAGTAGATTTGGCTACCCTAGTTTCGTGAAAATCTACTCAACCCCAACCAAAAGCTCGTTAGAGCCTTGTATCCCGTATCCGGTTTCCCTAATTTCTCTTTTTTCGTTTCAAAGATAATAGTTTCGTCCCGAATGCCAATTGTCCCTAAGAGGTAGAGCTCAATTCAAATCTCTAAATCTTTGCTCGGAATACAAACACTGCATGGATTGAAATTACACTATAGATCTGATTAGAGGAATGGGACAACACGTTTCTCCTGACACATTAAAATTTATTTTGAAAAAAAAACAGAATTATAAATACTCAATAAATAAATAAAACCACCATTTCGTAAATTTTAATAAATTTCAACTAATTATAAAGTGTTGAAAATAGTTTTAAGAGGGCATTCCTAATATTTCTCATTTGACATTTTATAAAATCAGAAACTAAAATTTTATGAAGTCGGTTTGAACACTCAATCTAGTGAAGATATACACCAGTCAGATATATTAAATAAGTGGGGTAAAAATCACATTTACAGGAGCTTGTAAATGCACATAGAAAATAAAATAAAAACATGTAAAACAAAATAACAGGCAAAACAAAGTCAACGTGTGCGTGTTTAGCTTTACGTTAAATTCTCCAAATTGAAACACAAGTTAACATAATTTAAGATATATTTTCATGTTTTTAGTTCCACGATGAGAAATTAAGTCCAAAATTAATTCTGAATTGAGGCAATTTTAAGTAAATTGTATTAAATAAAAAATTTATACCAAGTTTTACTATTACTTGCTTTTATAATAAAGAAAATTCAAACATAAATTACTTCACTTAAAAATCATTTCAACAAAAACCAATTTTGGAAAATCAATTTCATTCATTTTACTATCACATCCAAACATGTGAGGGGAGAACTGAAATTCTACCACCCTCTGTGTACTAAAACAAACAGCTTCAGAAGCATGCATCATACAATGCAAGCAACCATTTTTGCAAGCTTTACCAGAACACAGCCTAATGTGTCAAAACATAAAAGAAACTTTAGTATCTCAAGTCACCAATGTCTAGAGCAATTAAGAATTTTGACAACTAGAATGATGACAATGTCTAGGTTACAGCGTTTATCAATAATATTCCGATGCTTCCGCTAGACATAATAAACAACAAAAACAGCGTACTTTACAAAAACAAGATTCCTGAAAATTTACAATCTGTTGGTAGTCTCCAATGCCTGACAGCTTCCCATAGAATGTTTCTATTCCAGTTAAAGGAAAATACTTCAACAATAAAGCAGCAACACCTAACACAGCATTTATATCGCATCAGTTCTGCAATCAGTACCAGCATTACGAAACACTACATAACATGGCAATATGACAACCAAAAAGTTAGTTAGAACCCTGCTATTTCCAAAAGTCAAGTACATAATAGAACACACATGATCACAATTATACTCCAAAAACTGACTGCAAAAGGAGCATGACATTTGAAGGAAAGCAAAACATGGTCCCAAATCATTAAGTGTGTTTGGATATTAATTTAAAATCACATTTAAAAGAAAAATACACAAAAAAGGAAAAACTTGTGAATATAGTTTTTTTTTTCAAATCCAACTGAGTTTAACTTAACTAGTTTTCAAGCATGCCCTAAACGGATAAACCTCCAAGTTCCTGTAGCCTGAACCTGAAGAAATCTAAAAACTAGCCAGAAGAAATATGAACTTCCCCAAGTTTACTCATCAGATTAGTAAGCCATATATTCATGAAATCTGACCACCCTTTCAGCTGCTAACAGTAAAAACAAAAAACTAACTAGTAACTGGACAAAAGTTAAACAGAAACTAAAATGATGAAACACAAAAAAGGTAAGGCAACCAAACATCGAGTACAATTTAGAAGTACATATCTTTCGGGATCATAAGGTAGTTTATCACTTACTTCATTTCAATGCAACTAAAATACAAAGCATGTTATAAATGTTTAAAACCATTCATACACCAACCGTAGATGGAGAAACCTGATAATAACTTCAGACAGAGACTGAATATATTTAGGGTTAAATACTTCTTAGTGTCCCCAAATAAGGCAATATTCACTTTTACTCCCTGAAAAATATCATCTCCTTTTGGCTCCTCATTTATGTAAAAGTGTCATCCGTGATTCCTATTTTTGTAAAGGAGGGATCAAAAAGAGATTTTTGTTTTTTTTTTGGGTGGAAGACAAGGAACACGTCCAACACATTTCCATAAACCAAAATGGGAGAGAGAAAGGAAACGATTTTATTTTCAGGGACTAAAAGCAAACATCTCTAATTCTCTATATTTATAGGGACAAAAAACAAATTTAGCCTTTATTAACAGAAAGAGATGAACCCAAATATGACGAATGGAGTTTGTATCCTGTTCAGACACTGCGTTGAATTTTATTAAGTGGAGCTTGTTTTACAAGCCTGTGGAGATGTACCAAAAAGACTAATAACATATAAAGCTAAAGATAGAACTAAAACAATAACATTAATGGTCAGAAACATGACTATATATCAAAAATGTTAATAAGAAATAACTGGGAGCTCAACTACCTCTTGAAAATTCTAAGAATGCAAAGAACACTACCTTGCATCTTTTCCTACCTTCTTTTCCCTCAAGCCTTACCTGCAACACCCCTCCACACTCCAGTCTTTCTGTTATTTTCTCATCTCTCACCTCCAAGTCATCCCCCTCCCCTCCCCATAACTAACGGTGTGTTTGATTACTCATCCACACACATTCCCATGCACTCAAACAAAAAGGCATAAATGTGGATGGATTGCATTGAACGTACGTTTAGCTATTCTAAACGGTAAAGCAAACATGCACTAAATCACTCAATTGGAAGAACATCTCATAAAATAAGCATTCCCATAATATCTTATATCTTATGGGAATAACTCTCCTAATCTCCCTTTCCTTCCTTTTGTCTTTCTGCTTCTGGTATTGCTCTAATTCTATGCTGTATAAGCAATTGCTGACAGGTCTATCACCTATGAAGCACAAATACTTCAATTTGTTTTATGTATTCATATCCTATATGTATCAATGAAGTATACAAGCCTCCATAAATATTGTAAGAATCTTATCTGATCTCGATACTCTTAAATACTTTACCAATACTTATTAGTGATATATATCAGTGAAGTAGCCAAACCTTTAAAAAATTATGAAATATCCAATGTAGCTAAATAAGACATAGAAACATTGTCCCTTGATAAACTAAAAGTAGAAATTTTCTTCTATAGGAATGATTTTAAGGAAGAAATGATTTATAATTTATTTGTTTTTAGAAATGTATAAGTATGTTTTTAGTTTGAAATTGAAAATTGTAATTATATATTTCTTACATTTATGAATTTTGATCAAAATTACAATTACATAATTTATATTTTATGAATATTGATATATATATATATATATATATATATATGAATACACGTACCGTATCTTATATATTTTAAAAAAATCATATTGCTGAATTAGATACGTACCATCCGATACACTATCGTATTGATGCATCATAGTCTATCACAAGACCAACCTTTAAAAAGAAAAAAAATTCCCTTCCAATATGTATCATGTTTGTTAGACCCAAGTTTGATAGCACTTATTGATTGAGAATGAGATTTATTTATCATATCTGAGATCATATCATAATAGACAACATGCAACTTAAGAAGCTACACTTCCTAGTCCCAAACTAACACCTATAACATACAGAATACAGATCTGTTTCTCAATCACTTCAATGTACGGTTGCCTTTTACAAGTTTTTTAAATAAACAAAAAACCATTAAGCATATTAATATGTAAAAATGCTATGGCAGAAAGCACTTACATTACATCCAAGTCCAGCAAATTTTATGTAAGCTACAGCTCACTATAATTGCGCCATACTGCACGAAACTCTTCACGGAATGTGTTTAGACGAGCTTTCAAGTTCGGTGTTCTAAAGCTTGCATGCAGGATGGTTGCTGAAAATAACAAGAAAAATCAACTCAAAAGCAAATTCATAATTGCTAAAAATATTAAAGATTAAAATTTATCTGTATGTAATGTACCTAGAAGACCAATAGCTAGTGCCCATAAAACAGTCATGAGACCAGCAGAAACAAACCAAAGCATGAAACTTGCTGCAAAAAAAAGGGAGGAAATCATTGGACTCAAAAATATTGGACAGATAACAAGGATTGACAGCACATCCCACATTATTAATGATTAAAAGAATCCCCGTTTCAAAAGACTTCAATTACCAGAAGAAAATATCAAGACAAACACCCAACGTGGCCGACCACATATATAAATTGCTCTCTTGGCTGATGGACGTCCACGAATAACAGGCCTGGAATTCAAATAATTGATAAACATGGATAGCTTCCAAAGGCCAAAAGAGATAATAACAACTGAATATACTTACGTGAGAGGAGGCCTCATTTTGGCAGCTAAATGGGGTGAAAATTGCCGAACTGTTCTTGTTACCTTTTCACTAAAGGTACCTGCAAAGCTGCAAAAAAGTACCAATTAGATGTGCAAAATATGTGTGTGTGTGTGTGGCTGACTAAATGAAGATTTCACAGTTCAAACTTTCTTGGACTTCTATAGATTCCAAGGATTGAGTGTAGAATTTATTAAAATATTTTACAAATTATACAAAGGTATTTCTTAACTGGGAAAAATATTTGTCTAATAGCCCATCATCTGATCTGAGTATAATCAAATATCTATAGTCATACTCAACTTTTTAGAGTAGCCAATTGTACTCAACAAGTGTGTTATAAGTTATATCCCTTTGGAGTTCATTTTTCTCCTTTTTTTGGCAACCATGATAATATTACAGCCTCCTATAAATCATTTTACATCGCTACTCTCTCTCTCTAATTACAAGATTGGAATAGTGGCATACTAGAGATTAGATAACATAATTTTTGTTATATCCAAGCTACAAACAGATATATTGAAGTAGTATTTCAAGTAGACCTAAAATGTACATAATCTGAAATACTAAAATCTAAATTTGATCAAAGTTCTTGCTTTCCTATTCATTTGCCTGCTCATGCCGCAAAAAAGAAAAAACTGATGTACTTCACAAGGATATATGGTAAAACTACTATATTAGCCATTGTCAAAATACAATAAATCATATAACCTGCTACACAAATCATGCGACAAAGGAACCATATCCAACACTAGAAGTAAAAGTATCATGTGATTCATGTCTGGCTCCAAAATGGGGATCGGGTTACAATTGAAGTCATGCTATATCATCTAGAAAACCAATCCATATATAAACTTTACCAGTTTACCTACAGCTTCTAAAATGCATGTTTCTGTATAAGGAAGAGGAAGCACTATAATGTTATCCCACAAAATAATGGCATCTATATTGTATTAGCCTAGAAGTAAATGACTTGCCATAGTAAACCATTATACTGTGCTATTGAAGGTTATGATTAACTATGACTCCAAAACAAAAATAAAGAATAAAATTGAAGTATATTGTGGCACAAGCACAAAAGTCAGATTAACATAATTAAAATGGCATCAAATACTAAGTTTTAAACTGATATAAAACCTGCTCCCCTAAATGAAATAACATCCTGATACCAAAATGTTTGCAAAACCAAATAAACTTCAAAAAACCAATTATATAATGCGAAATATAAAGAGAACCAGTAACACTGATTACCTGTCATTCAGAAAAGCAATGCTGAGTGCCGTAAGAAGTGCAGCTACAATAGCAAGCGGCCTCCGAAGAAAACCCAATACTACAATTCACAACGTGTATAATGAGACAACTCATCACTAAACATCCAAAGTTGAATAAACAATACTCATCACGCTCACTTACTGAGAACAGAAACAATCAAAATGAAGTAGTTGGTCCGGTAGCTGCAGCAAACACAAGCAAAACAATCATTATCACCTTCCAACCCTAAAATTTATCTAACAACTCATTCCCCAAACATACATAACGCTATCCTAAAATCAATCATTACAACCTCGTAATTCGAAATTCATCACGGAATCCTAAAATTCAAAATAAAACAAATCCACCACAAAGCTATCAACAGTAAAATAAAAAGCTGGTAAAACCTCCAAATAAGACCTAAAAAATAGTACGATCACAGAAAATAAAACCCATGCCAAAACACAACATCAAGGGGGGAAAAAAAAGGAAAAGAAAAATTCGTTGCTAATCATCTAATCCGACTCCACTTGCGAAAAGAAACAGAAGAAAAAAATAAAAGTAAAGGAAAAATGAAAATTGCATGATATGAGATAGCGATGAAATAGAGAGGGTTAGGGACGGTACTAGTAGAGATTGCATTTGAGGCGGCTGCTCCATTTGGAGGAGGATCTGGGAACGGTGAATCGCGAGAAGAATTCCGACAGAGGGCGCGGCGGCGACGACCAATCCACCTCGCGGAGCGCGTCGATCAGATCCTCCGCGGTCACGTTTCCCCAATCCATTTTCTGATTGTCGGAGGGAAACTTCGGTCCTGAGAAACGAATTGAATTGAAACTAGCGCGAAGGAGAAGGAACTTGTATCAGTGAAGGAAAAAACGAAGACGAAGGAAAGTGAACGAGTGAAGAAATGGAAAATGGAGAACAACAACAGCGGTGTCGTTTTATTTTCTGACTTTACTTCCTTCTTCGGTTTGGTTTGGACTTTGGACAGAAATAAATGAAAAAAAAAATGAAATATGTCTGAGCCCGGGTTCGAACCGGGGACCTCTAGTGTGTGAGACTATCGTGATAACCAACTACACCACCCAGACTTTTTGATTTTGAGGTTGTTGGTTATATAAGTTAAACATTGTTAAAATTACGTTTTTATTCAAAATAGTATTTTATTTTTAGAATAATAAAAAGAAATAATCGTTTTGAAAAATATGAGTCTAGGAGGATTTTCATTTTTTTTCCCCTTTTTTCTCTTGCTTTGTCACTTGCCAGAGGTTTGTATGGTTTTTTCTTTTCCCACAAATCTCGACCCCAGCTTCAACACCATAGCGACGTTGCCTCTGCCAACAAAGCAAGTGCCAAAACCACAATCATCACCTTTTTCTCCATAAACAATGTTACTCAAGTTCTCGACTATTGATTTGGTAAAATAAGTCATCAACAATATTAGAGTATAGTAGTTTTTTTTTTAAAGAACTGTTTCAGATTAACACATTTTTTTTGCAACAATTTACAAATATGAGACGTAGGGGTTTTTTGTTGTAGTTATATTTCCAAAAATTAAACTGAAACAAGACTTTCAATAATGATCACAACCACTGTAATAGCTCAAGAAACCCAAACTCACATGGTGATACACCTCCACGTGTATATAACACCACCATTTTCAAAATAATGAAAGCTCAAAGACAAATTGAATCACTTAATACAATAAATAAAATGTGTCTGACACAATATTTCTGATTTAAGACGCGGATGGTGCTTCGCTTCTACGCACTAAAGCGTGTTGGGCGTCCACAAGGGTTAAGACGGAGCACCAACTTGCGACTTCAATGTTATAGGGAGAAAATAGAGAATTCCCAAATGCAAAAAAAAAAAGTAATATAAAATTTCACTTTTTCAACTAACATCAATCTGCACAGTTCATTTTTTTATACGTATATCTGACGGTGCAAATCTTTTCTCAAAATATTTTAATGAGTGGTTCCCCCATGAACCATTTGCTTCATATGTCTACCGTAGAACGTACCATCATGTAATTACATGCCTGTAACAACATCAAAAAGTTTATTTATCTAAATTTTCTAAAAGCTATCAATATTGTTTTAGAAATTTTGATTCAAAAAATTGCAAGAGTTGCTCAAGATTCGTAGTTTAAGAAAATGTTTTTGCAATCTATTTGAAATGGGGTAAATTATCTAAACTACTTTGCTTTACTTGAAGTTTAATTTAACATGTATATATTAACTCTCTTCAACGAAACTTGTTAATAATGTCGTAAACAAGAGCGCTTCTAGCATGACGCAGTTGAACCAATGCCTCATCCATGAGGCAGTAAAATGACCTATAATAGCAAGTTTTTCAACTTGTTTTATAATTGCAAAATGATCCTTATGTTAAATAGTTTTATGCTGGTGGAGCATCGGAAGGTGGCGGTGGATGAGGGAGGCAATGCAGGGGCGGTGGGTGGGAACCGGGTGGTGGAAGTGGTGGCAACGGTGGTGCTGGGTGCCACCGTGAGTGGCGGCTGAAAAAAAACCCTAGTGATTCCTCTCAACTGACAATGGATAGTTAAATCTGCTGTGGCAGTTCATGTATTGGCGCGGTTTACGCTTGGTGATGGCTCTGACGCTACTGATGTCAGCACCGACGACGGTTTCCCCTTGGTGGAGTTAAATCTCCACCTTGTCCTCGTTCCCCTCGTCTTCTCCTGCGCCTCTGTTCTCCTTCTGCTTTTGCTACTGCTCCTTCACGATGTCGTCCACGAAGTCCAACACCACCTTCTTCGTCTCCTTGTGCTCCTCATCCGCGAAGTCTCTCCAGTGGCGTTTCCGCGACGGATCAAGGGAGGGAGTCTGGTGGTGGCGGTGGCGGTGGGCGAGGGAGAGCGCGCGTGGCAGAAGCGGCTACGATCAGGCGAACGCAAACGAGATCTCTTGTTATGCGCTCGGTCACGGTCACGATCGCGGTCACGGTCGTCCTTGTCTCGTCTTCATTCTTTGTCTTTTTCTCTGTCATGAGTTTTGTCATGGTCATGGTCACAGTCACGGGCGGTGGCGACGGTGGTGCTAGGCGTCGCTATGGGTGGCGGCTCATGGGTGAGTTCCTACATGGGATACTGAACACAAGGACTAATCTACAAAATACAAAAATTAATTTTTCCAAGTTACAGGTAACAAATCTGAATCGTTGATTATTATAATATTAAATCTAATGGTTAAAAATAGTGCTTCGTCCATGTACCACATTCTTTGGTACTTCATGTTAGAATTTTCGCGTAAACAAATAACAATACTGGATGGCAAGAACTTTTCTGCTTGCAACATGTTGTCGTGCACCACTTTAATAAGGGAATATTCGAAGCAAGATCAATAATCTTTTTTTGTTGCTCGCAAACTATGATTCAATGAAGGCTTTTTGACGTAAATAAAATAAAATAAAAATAAAATATACGAAATAGAAAAAAATGTAATTACCATATGAGATGATTTTGGCAACGTGGCAAGTAAACATTACGCAGGGGAGACAAGGACATTCAAATAGGATAAATGGTGAATAGATGGCGCATGTGGGGGAGGGATTTTTTGAACAAGTTGAAAATGTGTAGAAGGCGCATAGGGGGAGGGAGAATTCTATTGAATGCAAGTGGTGCATGGGCCCTAGGCGCCTTCTGTTTCTACCTTCTCCAGTATGTAGGTGGCGCATGGGGCCTAGGCCCGTTGTTTAAACCTGCTCCTGACGTGACAATTGCATGGTGCATGTAGGACGTGAGTAAACAGCCTTTGACCACTCTTGCAGGAGGAACAGACTAATGCAATTGATAAATAGCGTAGGGAGCCCATGCATTTTCTATTTCCTAGTTACTCTATAAATTAAGCTCCAATCCTTCATCCCTCTCATTGAAGAATAGGTTACTTTATACGGATCCATGCAGCTACTTTCCTTATTTTAGAATCTGTTATATTGAAGAATAGGTGCCAACGTTGCACGACAATATAATGATCGGCAATCATCCAAGGTCCCTCGTATAACGCGTGCCAATAATCTTCTTCTGCCAAGAATTGGACCAAGAAATAATCATTAGGTATATCTATAATTCGAACAGCACCAGACTTGACCCAATCGCGATGCACCTTGTTCTCAATAGCTTTGAAAGAAATTTTCTTTCCTAGCACATTAATCACGAGTGTTTTCTTCCAAGGAGAGCACCATTCCTCAAACTTCTCCTGTGAAACTGAAATCTTGGGACATGGATTAGGGTCGTCATCATTATCTACCAAATCATCCTTCTCTTCACCTAGATGGTCCACAAATTCATCCATCTCTTTTATTAGGCTATTATAATTAGAAAATATTCTTCCGCCTTCTCCAGAAAACACATTATCAGCATAAGTGCGTTTCACACCACAAGGAACATGTTGATTAGCAATTGTCTCATCCATCATGGTATCACCCTCTCTTTTTGTATCTTTCATCTTGACCTTCTTAGTGCTTCGTTGACTCTCGCAAATTACGTGTGATGAGTGTCTAAGCTTCGGATTGAATATTAGTCTTATAACTGGCCAAAAAAGAAAACCGAAGCTTCAAGTACTAGAAAACTAATTACTCTTATTGCGGCTGTTACTACGAATATTGGACCTTATAACTCTTCATTTTATTTTCTAAGCATATCTTATCACAATAGTGACAATAAATAGAATTCATATAATCAAAGTTTTACATGTAAGAATAATTATCAACTTGATTATAAATTTTAACAATTTTATGGGACAAAATTTAATTTGTAAGAATTTGATTAGAAAAAATAATAATGAAAGTAAAATAATAATTTGTTTTATTTTTATATTTTTTATACAATTTTTAACAATATTGAGTACTCATGCTCCAGATATCTCATCATTTTCTTCTTTATTTAGTGCAAAATATTAATATTAGGATCATGAACTTAGACATTGGTCAAAATATTATCTCATCCTTTGTTTTATATTCTTTCGTTAAATAATGATCATTAATCTTATTCAAGATAGTATAGATGTCAAATGGACAAAATTTATTCTTCATCTTATGACTATGTAAATAAGTTTTAGAAGATACTATAAATTCAATCGCAAGTAATTTTATTGATGACATGTGTGTTGGTGACTTCAGCATGTTTGTATATTAGAAGGTTAACATTATTAAAGTTGATGTATCTATATTAATTAAACTGATTGTTAAGATAGGAATGTGGACAATTTCTAGTTAATTATCGGCCTTTTTGAGAATAAAATCAACTATTTGCATAAATATTTTGTCTAGAAAAAATAATAATAAAGTTAAAAATTAACAAATTGTAAAGCATCATGTTGATTTGAATGTGTTCCATCTATGTATCACATCAAAACTTTTATTTTATTTTTTGAAGACGTAACTCAAGACTAATTATTTAAAATGTTTTTTTTACTTGTTTTTCATTAATGAATGTTATTTTAATTATTGAAATTTAGACTTTCAATAAGTAGGTATTTTATTATTTGATTGTTTTATTGTGATGAATTATTGCAATGTGTTTAATTGATTTATATTTGTTAATATTATAAAATATTATAATATGTTAACTTGTCTAGTATGTATTAAATGTTTTTAAGCATATCTTATTGTAATAGTAACAATAGTGATAATAAACAAAAGCCATATAATCAAAGTGTTATATGTAAAAACAATTATGAACTTGATTATAATTTTTGACAATTTAATCGGACAAAATTTAATTTGTAAGAATTTGATAACAAATAATAACTAAAGTAAATTAATATTTTATTTAATCTCTATTTTTTGATACGACATTTCACAACATTAAGTACTCATGTTCTACATATCTCATTCTTTTTTGTCTTTATTTAGTGCAAAATATAAATATTAGGGATACATGAATTTAGACATCGATCAAAGCACTATCCCATCTTTTATTCTGCATTCATGTTTCAAAAAATGCTCATTAATCTTATT